CAGGGGCGGCGCCGGAGGCGCCGCCGGGGGGCCCCAGCGCCGATCCGAGAAATCCGCGCGGACCTCACTTTTTTATGTTTATGCCACTTTTTGTCCCCTTACCCAACGACACCATCGCAGGGGACAGTGGAGGGCGCGTGGCCAGCGCGAAAGCACGGACGGGGCCGCGTCGAAGGCACAAAGGCGGCGGGGCAGCAGGACCCATCGCAGGAAGGGGCGACCGGGAGAGCAGTCAGGGCGCTCGAGCGGGTGAAGCACACAGGGCTGGACCTAAACGTTGATCTTCGTTTTGTGTTCGTTATGTTTTCCGTCTCTGCCTGCATTCCTGCACATCCCTGCCCAAGCGAATAACAAAACACGGCCGAAGTCCAACACCACGGCGCTCAGGTCCAGCCCTGGAAGCACATGGGCATGGCACGAAAGGAGCACCGAGCGCTCAGGGTCATGTCGGGCGTGTCCCCCTACAGGGGGATTTTCGACGAAAAATAAAAAATACCCAAAAAATCCGACAAGAAGGTCAACAAAATACCCCCAAAATAATCTCCTGACTATTGTTGGAATATTTTTTGATTATTTTGGGGGTATTTCTTATTTTTCGTCGACAATCCCCCTGTGGGGGGACAGGCCCGACTTCAGCTCAGGGCCAGCGGGGGCTTCCCGGCCCTGCCGCAGGGAACCAGGGATGCGGTAAGGTGGATGTGGGCCGCCCAGGGCGTCCCCCCCGCCAGGTGGCGCTGGGGAAAGGGGCCGAGGGGCGCGGAGGCCGTGGGCTGGTGGGCATCGGGGTGCTGGAGGACGGAGTCCAACCAGCGAAAGCGGCAAAAACCAGGGGAACGAGCAATGACATAAGCATAACAACTCGGGGGTCCGCGCGGATTTCTCGGCTCCGAGCCTGGGCCCCCTCGGCGGCACCTCCGCTCTGCGCGCCAGGGAGGGGGGTCCAGCGCGGATCCGAGAAATCCGCGCGGACCTCAGAGTTTTTCTGCTTGTGTCCTTCTTCCCCTAGCTCAGCCATCGAAAGCGGCCACGATACGGTGAAGAACCCGCTGGACGCCCAGATGAGGGGCTCGACGACCAGGCGGGGCAAGAAAAGAAGCGAAGCGAGTGGTCCGAGCTCGGTCCGTAAAGACCGAACGTCGCGCGACTACACCAACCGTGCTGCAGCCACGCCAATAAAAGTGAGCGTTTTTTTGATTCGGCGTTTCGACATTGGGCGGAGGGGGGGTCTGGCTCCGGGCCTCTGCTTAATGCAACCGTTTGCAGCAGGGCGTCTATGATGGGGGAGGGGCTCCACCTGCTCGAAACAGGTGCCAAAAACAGCCAAGATTTGCCCCAGGGGGGAAGGGGGGGCGTGTGCGAGGGCCCGCGCCGATCGGCAAAGCAACGAATACAAAAAAACGATCGCCAACAAAAAGGAGGCGTGCCCGCGTTGTGCTCATGTTTCACGCCTGCCCGCCCCCCCTCGTCCCCTTCGAGCATCTTCGGCATTCTCAAATTCTCGCTCCGGGCACGCTGGTCGACTGCGCGCCCGGGGGCGACCACGCCGAACAACCCTAGGGGAACGACGAAGGACATAAGACATAAAAACTCTGAGGTCCATCGCGGATTTCTCGGATCCGCGCTGGACCCCCCTACCTGGCGCGCGGAGCGCGCCGGGGGCGGCGCCGGAGGCACCGCCGAGGGGGCCCAGGCTCGGATCCGAGAAATCCGCGCGGACCTCCGAGTAGTTATGTTAATGTCATTCTTCGTTCCCCTGGCTCAACCATCGAAAACGACCCTGGGCACATCTTCCTCCCGTTGGAGTGGCCGCTTGGAAACGCGCGCGGCTGCCGTGAGCCAGGCACTGCAGCACCGCCACCCAGGGAACGACCTAGACAGTGTTCTTCGTATTCGTTATGTTTTCGTCATCCCTCGTTTTGTGTGCCCAATGGGCCCTTTCTGTTTTTTATTCCCCGTGTTGTGTCCAATTTGGCGAGGTCGAAACGAAAACGGCCCACGAGGTCGCCAAACACCGTTCAGGTCGATCCCTGCCGCCACCGACAGCGGCGGCCGGCGGCCCGCGGCAGTCGGTCAGGTGGCCTCGCCAGGGGCGCGGGGCGCACCGTGCGGCCGTTCCGCGTGCGCGCGGCAGAAGACCCGAGGGGGCGGCGGGGGCCGCTCGCAGAGGGATCGCGGGGTCCGAGCGGTGGGAACAGAAGCCAGGAGAGACAAGAGTACAACTGCCACCAGCGAGGGGGGTGGCCGCTCCCTCCCCTCGAGCGGGTGGCACCTCCTTCCGGGAACGCTCTGGAGGCACGCCAGGAACGAGGTGCCGCCAGCTCGAAAGGGTGGGACAGCCAACCCACCAGCTGGTGGTGTATTTTCGTCGCTGTGAAGAAGAGAAGATGATGGTACTGGTGATGCTGCTGCCAAAGATGCTGATGGTGCTGATGATGATGCTGACGATGATGCTGATGATGCTGATACTGTTGCTGCTGATGATGATGAGGATGATGATGTTGATGCTGATGTTGATGATGCTCCTGCTCCTGCTGCTGATGATGATGATGAAACGAATCGTATCTAGCTCCTATCACCCCAATGTCGTACCCCAAAATCGTTCGACTCTCAATCCCAAGAACTTGATTTCCGCGTCGGGCACGGAGGCCTGCTTCTAAGGATGTTGAGCCTCCGAACGCCAGCCACATACCATTTTCTTGGTGAGGGGAGCCGAAAGGGGGGACTGGCTCAGGCGGGGACACTTCTACGAAGAATCGATGGTACTCCAGATTTCGTAATAAAGGGAGGGGGGTCTCATTTCGGGGGGGGTCTCTTCCAGGCTATTTTTGAGGCCAGGGGGGCCTGGGGACGACGTTTTGGAGGGTTCTCCCACGGGGGAGGTCTGAAATGGCTTGTCTTGGAGGGTCCACACCCCCTCGCTTTTATTACGAAATCTGGAGTACATCGCCGATAGATCGGATCGGCCATGGCCCCCGACAGCAAAACCGTACGCTCCTGAGCACCCTGGAACACTTTCGCTTGACTCTGCGAGGAGCGGGCGGCCTTCGGTCGATGTGCCCGCCCTCGGCCAGTCCTCGCGATGTCGGCGCCTGGAGATTTTATCTGGAGCCCCCTGCAAGGCTCCAGGGCCCCGGGTGTCGCAGGAAGCTTCCGAAGCCCGCAAGGAGGGCCCAAAACGCCGAGGCATCGATCCTCCCTCTCCCCAACTCAGCGCCCACGACTGTGTCACAAAGGGGGGTCCCGAAGGATGGAGCACCGACGGCCGCCGTTGGAATCGACCATCCGCGCCTGCCAGCGGACGTACGTGCTCACATCGTAGTTGGCGTTGTACCAGCTTGTCTGGCGGGCGGTGGCCATTCGACCCCCTTCGCCCGCGACCTCCTCCTCCTCATCTGCAGTTCGCTCTGTAGCCCAGTTTTGAGCAAAGCCTGACGAGCTGTTGAAAGAGGGGCGAGGAGACATCGACCCCTGTAGGTAGACCAGCGGCGTTCAGCTTATCCTTCTGTTCATCTTCCACACTCCTGACCTAATCCCCAGACAAGCGAGAGGAAAGAATATAGAAAGGGGGTGAGGTGCTGCGACGAGAAGATGGAGGTTGGAGGGAGGATGAAGTGGGGAGGGGGAAAGAAGATAAGACAAAGCACATGTGATATCAACGCTAGAGCTGTTGCGTTAAAGGACGCATGGAGGGGACAAGGACGGACAAGAAGAGCAGATTTGACAAGACAGGAGGAGACGACAATGAACGCAATTAGGAATGAACGATGCGCGGGGAAAGCTCCAATATTCCTCAATACTGTTGGACCCTGGCCCGCGAATGCCCCCTTGTAATTCTATCGCCCCAAGGCGACCCAAAGGAGGTGTCAGTCCTGACACCTGGGTCCCCGAAAGAACATCAACTATGTAGTGGTCCACCCACTGCGGGTAAACCATCCCAATTCGTGCACGTGGGTATATGGCCTGCGACAGAGCCTCAATCCTGGCATATCGGCACAGGCCCGCAGTGAGTCGGGTCCGTTGTGTCGCAAGCGCAGGCGGCAAGGCTTGAGACGGGCGTCCCAGCTTGCGAAGCTGAAGGCCCTCAGACTGAAGATACGAAGCCGGCTGTTTCAGGCCGGCGCCGTGCCCTGGAGCCTGTACGAGGCCAGTTTCTAAGGATGCCCGCCGTCGAAGGTTAGGGAGCTGCGGAGGCTGGCAGCGGACGTCTTGGGCAGCAAGCGTCGCGGCAGAAGCCCCACGACAACCTTGCGACTCGACCTGGGCTCTCGTGACCCCGCCGTGGTTGCGGGCAGTACTTATACCCATATCCAGAGCGTCTTGGACATTTCGGGAAGAGGTGCCGCAACGCCGAGGCGCACTGGATATGGATAAATTCAAGCCTCTTGGGGCCAGATTTGTATCCATATCCAGTGCGTCTACGGTTTCTGGGGAAGAGGGCCCAAGAGTCGAAGACGCACTGGATGTGGATATGAGTATTGCCCGCCATGGTCGCAGTCGTGGATTTGTGGAGCGAGCGGCTCAAACTGCTGGCGGCCATGCCCGAATCTGATTTCAGGCGCGTGGAGAAGGCGTGGGGGCGCATGTCGCGGCGCTTCCGCGACACGCAGGCCGATCGCGGATGGCGCCACATAGAGGGGCCCACGGCCGCCGTGATCGCCACTCTGACGGACGTGGATAAAAGGGGCCCTGGGACACACAAATAAATACACACAAATAAACAGATTCCCCATATTTGTCCATATGTTCTGGGTTTTTGTCTTCCCCCCCACTTCCCATATTTTCCCATCTGTTCGGGGAATCGACGATTACTTGGGCGTTTCCATTGGCTTTTTGCTTACGAGGACTTGCTTGGACACGGCGCCGGAGCCCCGAATGAGCTCTGGGCCTTGAGGGCACGTTGGACATCAAGCATCTCATAAAAATCTAGAAGACAACGCCATCAACCACAAACATTTTGAATATCGGTGGCGTTCAACTAGGTAAAACTACTTCGTCTATGACTTATCTGGGGGAGCAACCTGGATCCACGCACATGGAGGCGATAGCCTGGGGGCACTATCAAGATGGGGAGTGAGACGGGGAAAGAAGAGAAGAAGGGCAAGAACATAATGGCGAGTGAGAACAGAGGAGGCCAAGAGGGATGGATATTGAGTGGTGATAGACAGGAGGACCAACACAAGAGGAGGATAATGAACGAGGGACGTTGACGAGGGAGGAAGAACACAGAGGAGTGGGATGATGAGGTAGCGGGCCGTACCAGACGACAACACATCCTATTCAGCGTCTTTGGTTATCCTCCATGTCCCAACTTCTATCCCTCCTTCCCCTTCTCCTCCTCCTCCTCCTATTCATTACACCTTTCCGTAATGTCCTGTTATGTTCCTCATACTGTTTCGCTCCCTTCCAAAAGTATGCCCTACGCGCCGTGGAAGAATTTTACGAGGTACTTAGAGGGGACTTGGCGTTTGCCTTGGACGACGGAAAATTACCACGAGATGGGGCATATACGGGTAACATTGACTTGCATCGGGTGGATGTGAAGCAAGGTTACACGGCTTTCGGGCGTTCAAGCTGAAACATGTTCAGCCTCTGAATTGCGAAGACGACATCCGAATTCAAGGAAATCTTTGCGGCGAGTGTAGCCCCCAAACAAGCAATTGTTTTTGTTTTTTGGGGGGGTCTCATCGCACGAGTGCCGACCAGAGACCTCAACAACCTACACCACCCCATGGCCTGAACAAAAATGGTGGCAGGTGCCGCCCGCAAGTGGGTGGCGCATGAACGCGCCCTTCCCATGTCGCGACACTCCAACTATAATAACGGAACGCAGCTAAATAACAAATGGGGGTGTTGAGTGCGTGTTATCGGGAGTTGCGCCTGCGCGCCTCCCCGAAGATGCCTGGGCGCATCGGAGGTCCTTCTCATTCGAGCCCCCCGTACGTCTCCACCTGACCACTACGACTACACACGCGTGCTATTAGGCAACCATTCTGGCCGCCTGAGTCCCCACGGTGTTCCTTGGTTAGTTGAGTTCAACGCAGTCGCTTTACAACCCCGACCCCTCCTCCCCGACGTCCCCGCGGGGGGGGGGGGCGGGCCAGACGTCTCGACCAGCGCTGCAGGGTACCTCTCAGCCGTCTCCCGCTCCGCCGCCGCCGCCGTGCTGCCAGCCATGCGGGACGGCGCAGGCTGGCACCGGCTGCTCACCGGGTGCCCGACAGTGGCGTCGAGGAGCAGGTCCTGCACCTCTGGAGTGCCGAGCGCCCACACACCGGGCCACGCCTCGTGAGACGCCGTGGTGAAAGCCCCTTTCCCCCTCCCCGAGGCCCCGCGGGGAGGGGGGGGGCGGGCGGGCCAGATGCCTCCGCGCTGCCCCCCGACCCCTCCTCCCCGGCGTCCCCGCAGGGGGGGGGGCGCCGCCTCGACGGCGGCCATGCGCGTCTGCTCGTTGAGCCAGAGCCCCTGGCGGCCAGCGGGCGGAGCCGCGCGGACCGAGCGGGCCGCCCCCTCCGCCGGGCACGGCGGGTGGAAGGCCTGGGCTCCTGCACGAGGAGGCGCTCGAGGCGTGGCTCAGCAAAGTGTTCTGGAGGTTTCTGCCGCATGCCTGCAAAAACCTCCCCAAATGCCTTCTCCAAGAACTGTCCTCGGGAAGCCTTTCTGGCGGGTGTCTGGAGGATTCCTCCGGAAACCTTCCGAAAACCTCGTTGGCGCATGGCGCCTGCTGACGCGGTCTGCCTGGCCGGCGCTCCGGCCCCCCGGACGCCGTCCCGTCGCCCGCGGGCCTCTCCGGCTGCTCATGGCGGAAGTCTTCCGCCTCTGAGTGCTCCCCCTTCTCTCCCCCCCGCGGCCGCCCTGCCCTTCTTTTCCCCTCCTCCTGCATGCCGGCCGATTCGCTCTGTAGTGCCCTCACATCGCTGCAACGCTGGAGCGGATTGTCCCGCCTCGCCGCCGGCGGAAAAAAGTGTTTGGAAGGTTTTGGGTGGGTTCCTCCTAGAAGGAGCCAGACCTCGAGAAGGAGCCATGGCCTCCTCGAGGAGGGGCCTGGGAAGACACGAAGCACAAGCAGGCGGCACGCGCGTGCCAAGGCTGGCTCTTGCGCGAGGGAGGGCGCGGGGGCCAGGCCAGGCGGGGCGAGGAGGGGGGAGGAGAGGAGGAGGAGGAGGAAGGAGAGGAGGAGGAGGAGGAGAGGAGGAGGAGGAGGGAGGAGGAGGAGGAGGAGAAGCCATAGGAGGAGAAGCCAGACGAGGAAAAGGAAGAGCAGGAGGAGACGAGGAGGAGGAGGAAGAGGAGGGGAGGAGGAGGGAGAGGAGACGAGGAGACGAGGAGGAGGAGGAGGAGGAGGAGGCAGGAGGAGTAGGAGCAGAGGAGGAGGGGGAGGAGGAGGAGGAGGTGGAGGAGGAGGAGGAGGAGGAGAGGAGGAGAGGAGCAGGAGGAAGACGAGGAGCAGGGAGGAGGAGGAGGAGGAGGAGGAGGAGGAGGAGGAGGAGGAGGAGGAGGAGGAGGAGAGGAGGGGGGGCGTTCTCGGGGGCCGCCCTGGTGTGCTCCTGGGGCCATCGCGGCCACCACGAGGGGGCAGGGGCAACGGGTGACTACCTACCAGACCACGCTTGGAGGGCAACTTGATGCCTTCGGGTTGGTGTTGGGGTAGTTTGGTGGGGGCCACGGGGGGGCGACGAACGAGCGTACCAACGACGACGAAGAGAACGAGCTCCGAGCTCCAGAGCACGGGTGTGCACGAGAGCAAGCACAAATCCCAAGGTTCTCCCTATTCTTCCACGCGTCCTGGATGTACGCGCTCCCCACCTTCATGTGTTCTCCCATCTTTTTCGGGACATCAATTTAGGAGGCAACTACTGGGAGGTCTTCGTCGGAAGGGCTAAGGAAGATTAAGCCCCATCGAAAGCTGTTACGCCAGAATGGGCCTCGGATTAAGCGGGATTGAACGGGGTTTAGCTGGAGCGGGAGTAAGGAGGATTAAGCCGCATTTCGGACCAGGGCAAAATCAATATTTGCCCTCCCAGGAGTTGCATCCGAACTTAGACGTCCATGTGCGTGTATAAGCGGGCGGAGCGCTAAAAGGCCTGGCTCGATAAAGGGCGAGTCTTCGACGGCTGCTACGGGTGCCTCGGGTCGAGCTGGGGGGCCTGGGTCGGGCTGGGGGGAGGAGGAGGAGGAGGAGTCTCTGGAGTCTCTCTCTGCCTGATCGAGTAGCGATGTGGATAATTAGACCTCCGCCACCCCACTTGGGGTGTTGTGAGCTCTGGTGGCCTTCTCAGCTCGACTGAGGGCCTTCGGCCAGAGCCCCTTGGAAATACGCTTGAGGTATTCCTGCCCCGAGGGGGTGAGCCTACCGCAGGGTTCCCCGAGTTGCCCGAGAACCAACTGAGCGTAAGCTCCACACCTGACACAGAACCACAAATTCAGCCCAGCGTGGAACCGAGAACGGTGGCTACTGTGCACGAACCCCCCCCCGCGACATGGACCGACTTCCCCTGAGGGGCCTCCTTATAAGTGCCGTCTATGTTGAGAAGCTCAAAACATTCCGAAAGGAGCCAACGAGACCTCGAAGCTTTGCTGGAGGAACAAAAGCACCTAGTACGTTGGGAGCCAGTGCAGTCGACAGAGTGCTGGGACCCAAAGAGAGCACAAGAACGTGGGGCAGGCGGTCGGTCGGCCTTGGTCGCCTGCCTCCTAGGGCGTTGCTCCCTGAAGAAGAAGGAGGAGGAGGGGGTGTTTCCACTCCTGGCTCAGGAAAGGTTCGGCGTCGCTCGACGCGGCTCGAGAGCGCTCCCGCCTGGGGGGCGGCCGCCTCGGACTCTGCCCTCTCGGCTGGATAATCGGGGCGCCGAGCTCCCTCTGCGGATGGAAGGGGGGGAAAGAGGAGGGCGGAGAGGAGGAGGAGGAGGAGGAGGAGGAGGAGGAGGAGGAGGAGGAGGAGGAGGAGGAGGGAGGAGGAGGAGGAGGAGGGGGAGGAGAAGGAGAGGGGGAGGTGGAGGGAGATGGGGGAGGAGGAGGAGGGGAGGAGGAGGGGAGGGGGGGAGGGGAGGAGGAGGAGGAGGAGGACAGAGAGGAGGACGGAGGTAATGTAATAGGGCGCCCAACCATGGGATCGCACAGCACTCATATCCCCATGATGAGAGGCAACGCTGGGGGGTGGCAGCTCACGGTGGAGGCATCGACCTGGAATCGGCAGTGCATCGCCGACAGATCGACGATAGGCCAGCGATAGCGGATCCGAACAACTAGCCCAGCAACAATAGCCCGAACACAATCAAACGTCACCAAAAACAGTCAGAACCTCGTCCCCAGACTATAGTTTGACTATCTTTGAATATACCTCCTGTGGAGGACAGGCCCGACTTACTGCAAGCGGAGCAGCGGGGCGGGCGCCATCAACGCCGTAGACATAAAAACTTCTGGCTCTCCGCGCTGATTTCTTGGATCCCCCGGAGATGGGGGGGGTGCCCAGCGCGGATCCGAGGAGCCCGCGCGGAGCGCCCAAAGCCTCTGTTCATGGCATTTCTGCTTCTTCGAGGCCGAAGAGGGCGAGGACGGAAAGCGTTAGGTCGGGCATGCCCTCCGATATGCGGATGGTGGAAGGGAAAGGAAACAAACAAACAAACAAAAGTACCCAGCAACAGTCAGAACATCGTCCCCAGACAATGTTTTGACTGTCTTTGAGTCTTCCTCCGGTAGAGGACAGGCCCGACACACGGCAAGCGGAGCAGCGGGGCGGGCGCCATAAACGCCATAGACAGAAACGTCTGGCGCTCCGCGCGGATTTCTTGGATCCCCCGGGGGGGGGGGCCAGCGCGGATCCGAGGAACCCGCGCGGCGCGCCCAAAGCCTCTGTTCATGGCGTTTTTCGGCGGTGGACAAACCTCCCTTGAGTAAACCTCCCTTCTGTGAAAAAAGGCCTGGGACCGAAACCCGACGGACCTGGACCCGCAAAAACGACGGCCGCGACGCCCTCTCGCGAACCGAAAACGGCCAACTCGCTAATCGACGTGTCAGGGTAGGAGGTCTGTCAACCTCCGATTAATGCTAGCGGTCCGTGGCCGGCCCAAGCGTTATGCCGGGCGTGTCCCCCTACAGGGGGTTTTCGACGAACAAATAAAAATACTCCAAACAATACTCCCAAAAGGTCAACAATACCCAAAACATAGACCCCATACTATGTTTGGAAAATGTTTTGATTTCTCCTCTCCGACTTGTTCCTCTCCGAAGCCCAGGAGGGCGAGGAGGGCAAGCGGAGCAGCGGGGCGGGCGCCGCGGGGGAGGCCACGCGGGGCCGCGCTCCGGCGGCGAGCCGCGGCGCGCGGAGCGCTGGCCTCCCGCATGTCGGCCACCGCCGCGAGCGCCACCGCCTTCGTTGGGGAGGGTCACGGGAAATGCGCGCGGCCCAGCGCCTCTGTCGTCGTGGTCCTCCTCCTCCCTGCCTGCCTGCCTGCCAGCCTGCCTCCCTACCTCGCTCCCTCCCTCCCTCCCCCTCCTCCTCCTCCTCCTCCTCCTTCTCCTCCTCCTGCTCCTACTTCCCCTCCTCCTCCCCTCCTTCCCCTCCTCCTCCTCCTCCTCCCTCCTTCTCCTCTTCCTCCTCCTCTCCTCCCTCTTCTGCTCCCCTCCTCCTCCCCCGCCGCTCCTCCTCCTCCTCCTCCCCTCCCCTCATTTTCCTCCTCCTCTCTCCTCCTCCTCCTCCTTCCTCTCTCCTCCTCCTCCTCTCCTCCTCCCCCTCTCCTCCTCCTCCCTCTCCTCCCCCCTCCTCGTCCTCTTCCTTCTCTCCTCCTCCTCCTCCTCCTCCTTGTCTCCTCCTGCTCACCCTCCTCCTCCCCCTCTCTCCTCCTCCTCTTCCTCCTCCTCCTCCTCCCCTCTTTCTCCTCCTCCTCTTCCCCTTCCTCCCCCTCCTCCCCCTCCTCTTCCTCCCTCCGTCCCCCTTCCCGCCTCCCTCATAAGACGAAACTGGGAAGAGGATTAACTCGGGTGGGGATACATCGAGATAATCTGAGATCTGGTGGTTTGGGACGAGGTATCGAGCACCGCGGCATTACCAGAGCGTCCTGGAACGCTCTGAAAGCGTTCCCGAACGCTCTGGGAACGGATGTATCCTCGTCCTAGCCCCGTGCAACCTTAGGAAGCAACTACTGGGAGCTCTCCGTCACTACGATTGGGGACTATCAAGCCCGACTGAGAGGGGCCACTGAGCCAGATGAGGCCGGACGAAGCCTGGAAGTAAGCCGGATGAAGCAGGATTCGGCCAGATTCAACGGGAATAAGCAAAATCAAACGGGATGCAGCAAGATGTAGCCAGCTTACGACCAGGGCAAAACAAGCGCCGATTCTGAATTAAACCTCCCACGAGCTACATCCTAACGTCCTTCCTTCCCCCCTCCTGGCCCTAGATCCCAGGTCCCAAGACCAAGACCTCTGGACACGGCGAGGGGTTGAGGGCATAACTTCGTAAACATACAACGCGAAGGGTCTGGACTTCTGAACACCTTCAGAAACACATATGTGTATACATATATATATATATATGTATTCGGAGCTCCGCGTGAATTTCTCGAATCGGCGATGAAAACCCCATACCCTCCTCTCTGGCGCACAGGCCGCGCTAGAGGCGGCGCTAGAGGCGCCGCCAGACGGGCTCCAGCGCCGATCCAACAAAATCAGAGACATCTGAGATATGTGCCGTGCCCTTCGACAAATCATGCTCATGACTTCTGTATTACTCCATCACTCGAGGTGCTCCCGTTGCTGCAGCATAAGCGGGCCTCAAGATTGCCACCTTCCAGCAATGGTGGCCTCGCCGTGTCTGCTACAACTCGCGAGACAACGATAGGGGGAGCCCCCTTTCACGGGCCTTCTGCGCCGCAACGCCCACGCAGGCAGAATGCGACGCCTCCTCCCCCGACGGCCCGCAGAATGCTACGCCTCCTCCCCCGACGGCCCCTACGCCTCCTGACGAACTTGTAACCACCATCTCCCCTCCACGACGACCCCGCCCCCTCCGCGCCTTGCGCACGGCAAGCTGGGACTGCAACGACGAGGACGACGACCATGACGACCATGACGACGACGACGATGACGCTGATGACGACGACGATGAGGGTGACGACGACGCAGACGACAACGATAACGACGACAATGACGACGACGACGGAGACGACGACGACGGCGGCGGCGGCGGAAGCGGCGGCGGCGGCGACGGCGGCGACGACGACGGCAACGACGACGACCACGATGACGACGACACCGACAGCGCGGGCGCGCTGGACATTCTACACATTTGCCGGGCAGGTCGAGCGGCGAGCTGGACCCCGACGGGCGGGTCGGGGCGAGACCCGGCAGCGGGTGGGTGGGTGCTCCACAAATGCGGGAGGGCGGCACCCTGACGGACATGCCAGATGGGTCGGGCGGGCTGACAGGACAGGAGGGCAGAGTATGACGAGGACATCTGATACATTGGGAGGGCGAGGGCGACGAGGGAAAAGGGTGCGGGCAAGGAGGAAGGGGCGGTGAGAGAAGGTGAGGTAGATCGAGCTCTATTTTGCACCCATCCTCCCGCCATCTCTTCTCCCCTCCTCCTGCCTCGTCTCCCCCTCCTCCACCTGCTCCCACCCCTCTTCACCCCTCCACGAACCTGCCGGGTGGGCCCTCTCCCAAGTCCGTGCTTCGGTGCGGATCGTCACCGCGCCTCATCTCCGTCGTCGTCGCTGTCGTCGGCGTCGTCGTGGTCGCGGTGCGTGTTGCTCTGCCCGGGGCTGCTTTCCCTTTTGCGGTGGCCACCACCACCCACCCGCCCACCCCGGCCTCCCGCTCAGCCCCGCCACTCCTGCCCCCCTGGGCGCGGCGGGTGGACGGGCCTGGTCCAGCTGCACGTCCACCTGGGCCGGGCGGGAGGCGCTGCGCTTCTCTCGGACCAGGCGCAGCCCGAGGGCAGGGGGAGGAGGAGGGGGAAACAGGACTCCGATGTTGGTCGCGCCTCTTCTGGGGCCCTCGTCGCCTCGGCTGGATCGAGCCCGAGATCCCCAGAGCGTGCCCGAGAAAAGGGAGAGGTCGGGGGGGGGCGGCGACTGCATGAGGAGTCACCTGGGGCAAAAGACCACGACAAAGCGAGGAGGCTGAGGATGAGGAATCGCGACTCGCGCGCCGCGAGCCGCGAGTGAGCATCGCGGCGGCGCGGTGGCCCCTGAACTCGCGGTGCTTCGTTGTTCCTGAGGCCATGGCACGCTTACTCGAGCGCCCCCACCCCCCCCGCCGGCTTGTCCGACAGCCCGGGGCCGAACCAAAAGGCGAGGTCCACCGCGCGGCCTTCGGCGCAGCAGCCTGAAGGCGGGCGTGTCCCTTCGACAGGAGGAGTATTCAAGAATAGTACGAGAATAGTTTGGGAACGATGGCTCTTTGTTTAAACTATTTCTGAATATTTGGCTATTTCGGAATATTGTTTGACTATTTCAAGAATACTCAGAGAATAGTTTGGGAACGATTGCTCTGCTATGGTTTAAACTATTTGGGAATATCGTTTGACTATTCTTTGGCACCCCCAAAACTCCGCCTGCAGGGGGACGTGCCCGGCCTGACCGCGGCCGCACGCGCCGCGCAGCCCCGGGGGGGGGGGGGGGCGCGAGAGGGAAAACGCGAGGGGGGGCGGAGGCGGAGCACCGCACGGCGCGGGAGGGCGACCCGACACAGAGGACCAGTGCAGGGGGGGCCACCTGCGAAGCCCGCCCCCTATACCCTGATGTCGGGCGGGTCCCCCTACAGGGGGATTTTCGACGAAAAATTAAAAATACACCAACAATACCCCAGGACGGTCAAACAATGCTCAAAAAATAGTCCTGGCTCGCTTCGCTCGGGAGCTCCCGAGCGAAGGGAAGCCCGCCCTCCCCCTCGGAGATCGCGGGGGGGATGGGGTACAGTGCGGGCGCGGCCGCAAGAGAAACCCTCGCAAGAAGCCCAACCCTGAGAACCCGTGCGCGAGGTACACCTCAGGGGAAGCCCGGAGCACCCTGGACGCAGCAGCTCCTTTGACGGCTGCGGGAAGCCGCCGCGCAGCGCGAGGAGCGAAGCAACCCGGGATACCCTGACGAAAAGCAGATGGCCTCTTGATGCGCGCCCCCCCTGGAGGCTTCGCACGTGGCCCCCCGAGCAGTGCACCAGGGTTCGGGGCAGGCCCGAGGACTTCGGAGGAGCTCGGAGAAATTGAATGGGGCCCCAGGACACACAAATAAATACACACACATAAAATGATTCCACATCATTTCCCATATTTTTTGAGTTCTTGTCTTCCCCCCCACGTCCAATTTTTTTCCATATTTTCTGGGGGATCGACGATTAAGTGTGTCTGTGTTTTTTTCCCTCCTGAGAAATGCTGCCGAGGAGGAGCGCGGACGGCCGAGCGCCCCCGCGGCCGCGGCGGCCGCGCCGGCGCGCGCCGCAGCCTCGCGGGATGGGCGCGCGCGTGCGTGCCCGAGGAGCCGCCGCGCGGCATCGGAGCTCCGCCGACGAGGGGGAGACAAGTGCGCGTCGCTCGCGCTGCAGGGGGTAACCAGCCTGGAACATATTCCTATCCCTATGCTGGGCACCTCCTCATCACGATGCCAATCTTAGGGATCCCCTCATTTGTTGAGGGCGAATCTCTAAGATTGTCATCGCCTCTTGGCGTGTCAATCTTAGGGATAGGGATACTGTCGAGGCTGGTAAGGGGGGGCGGCAGCCGCGCGGAACGAGAAGAGGGGGGCAACCCCGATGCTTCGGTGCTGGGATGTTCCGGTGGCGACCGGCGAGATCGGTCGCTACCAACTGTGCCTGCGAATTTCGGCATCGGACGCGAACGGTTTGCTTCAGAATCGGTCGCGGCCGATCGGTCGCGACCGATCGGTCGCGATCAGTGGCGACCAGTCGCGACCGACTCGCGATCGGTCGCGACCGATTTGGAGTGCCGATCGGTCGCTACCGATCGCGACCGAACAAAAATCGGTATCCAATGATCTGGGAAGGCGGTGAGGCTGAGGCGGGATTAGGAACAGGTGGGGGACCGAAACATGGCCCAATCATAAAACGTCGGAGGGCCGCGCGGATTTCTCGGATCGGCGCTGGAACCCCCCTCCCTGGCGCGCGGAGTGCGCCAGGGGCCACGCTTAGGTCGGGCATGTCCCCCTACGGGTGGATTTTGGGCGAAAAATTTAAAAATTGAGCAATACCCCAAAATGAAGTCAAAAATTCCAAACAACTTATCCCCAGACTATCTTTTTACTTTGTTTGAAGACTCCTCCTGTCGTGGGACAGGCCCGACGTAAGGCTGCGCCGGAGGCGCCGCCTCTGGGCCCCGGCGCGGACCCGAGGAATTGGCCCGGCGCCTCGAGTCTTCATTTGTGTCGGGCATGTCCCCTTACAGGGGAATTTTGAACGAAAAACCACAAGTACCCAACAAATGTTCAAACATAGTTAAAGAGATACTCGAAAACTCGTCCCCAGATGATTTGACAATTGTTTACTATTCCTCATGTAGAGGGTCAGGCCCGACTTAGGCCTCCATGTTTCTGTCACTGCTTGTCCCCTGATAAAAGGCTCCTGCACGGGTTCCGAGCAGATGGGGTCGGATCGCGCCACATCGCCGGTGCATTTGCGAAGTATCGGCGCCATCGGCGTGTGGTAAAGTCTGGCCCCACATCGAGCCGCAGCGTCGATGCATCGGCGATGCGGGGCGATCCTTCGACACCATCTACTCGGACCACATCTGGGAGGCCCAGACCCAAGTAAGGGTACTGACAGAAGATCGGGGAGACGAAAGACTCGGGTTCGGGAGACTCGGGTTGGCCTGGGGGGGCCATCGTGAAGATGCCGAGAGCCAATCTGAACTTTGATACGAGATCCCGCTGCAAACACCCCACGAAAGCTGGACCGTCAAAATCCAGGACGCGCTCGCCACAAAGCGTCGGCAAACCCCCGAGGTCCGTCGTGCTCGAGTCCTACGCTTCTCCGGGAGGAGGCGGGAGGAGGCGGTCGGCGGTAGATCGAGAGGGGGATAGGGGGGGGGCGAGGGTGGACGCACCCTATCGGTGGGCCCCATCCCTGGCAGCGACTGTCCCTCTCGCGGGTCGCCTGCGACGAAGCCAGGACGATGACAAAATCGGGGGAGGATCAATCGAGAATCTCTTGGAATCCAGCGGCTCACGTCTCGGGCGCCGCGGCCTTCTCAGAGACTTCCGGAAACGCTCTGAGAGCGCCCCCGAACAATCTGAAACGGATTTATCCTCGTCCTGGCCCCGACCGACTGGACCCCATCCCTGGCAGCGCCTTTCCCTCGCGGGTCGCCTATCGAGCGCCCTGGTGCCCCGGGAAGCTGGCACACGCCGCGGCCGAAGCCGAGAGAGAGGAGCTGCCGTCGACATGACTATCAGCGACCCCATGACCCCCGACGTCGTGAATTTTTTGCCACGTCGACCCCCAAAAATCTGGAGCCCTTCCCCGGGACCGGCTTGGACCAGAAAACAAACGACACCACCCCACCTACGGCCCCACGGGCCGTAGCGTATACCAGGACATCTGGCGTGGGTTTTTGTTGCATGGTATACGTTACGGCCCCCGATGGGCCGTAGCGCAACAAGACGGGCCGTAGGGTGGTGTCGTTTGTTTTTTGGCCGACGGCTCTTCATCCTGAGTCGTTCTGTCGACGGCCCCGAGCCCTGGGAAGGGCCCCCCCCCAGAGGCCGAAAAAACTCCAGAACATACGCGAGGGGGTCTGGCCCAGATCCTTAGCTACCGTTTTGTCTCGGCAGCGACCGATCGGCACTCCAGATCGGTCGCGACCGACCGGTCGCGACCAATCTTGAAGCAGATCGGTCGCGGTCGATAAAGAAATCTGAAGCAAACTGGTACCGACCGTCCTCGTCGGTAGCGACTGGAAAGATCCAATATCCAATGATCAGGGTCCCCAGGACCAGTTCTTCATCCTGATGCGTTCTGTCGACGGTCCCGAGGCCGGGAAAGGCCCCTCAGAACGAAAGCAACAAAAACACGAGGGGATTCTGGGGAGGTGATAATGATGATGACGATGGTGATGATGATGATGATGATGATGATGATGATGGTGGTGATGCTGCTGATGATGATGATGATGATGATGATGATGATTTTGATGGTGGTGGTGGTGGTGATGGTGATGGTGATGATGGTGGTGACGATGATGACGATGATGATGATGACGATGATTATGATTATGATGATGATGATGATGATGATGATGATGATGATGAGGAAACTGATGATAATGCAGATGCTGCTGATGATGATGATGACGATGTTAATGATGGCGATGGTGATGATGAGCATGAGGATGCTAAGGACGAGGATGAGGATGATGATGATAATGATGATGATGCTGCTGCTGATGATGATGAGGGTGATGGTGATGGTGATGGTGATGGTGATGATGATGATGATGATGATGATGATGATAATAATGATGATGATGATGATGATGATGATGATGATGATGATGATGATGATGATAAGGAGGAGGAGGAAGATGAGGAGGAGGGGGAGGGGTCTGGGGAGGCAGGCGAGGGCCACCACGTGGCCCTCGGTGCCGTAGCCGTACACGTCGCTCAGGCCCGTGAGGTAGCGGTTGCCGTAGTCCTGCGCTGCAGAGGGGCCGGGCGGCCGCGCGCGCTGCGGAGGGGGGGAGCGGCCCGGCAGGGGCTCTTCGCGTGTGCCTCGGCGCGCCCTCCGCCCCGCGTGGCTACGTAGAAAGGCCCTGGGGCACACACACACAAACAAGCAGACGCGAATCGAAGAGTGCCCCATCTGTTCCCATGATTTTCTGGACCGTCGTCTGCCCCTCCCCCCTCCCACCACTGCCCATCTTCTCCCTCCTCTTTTTTGTCTCGGAAGGGGTCGACGACTCCCTGTGTCGGCGCTGCGTCCCCTCCTGGATCCCCTCGTCCTCGCCCTCGGCCTCCTCCTCCACATGGCCCCCCCCCCCCGCCTCGCTCTCCCCCCCCCTTTCCCTATTCCCGCCGTCGCGCTGCCAGGGCTGCTTCCCGATCTTCCTCCCCGCCCTCTCCCTCTCCTGGGCGTCGCCCGGACGTCCATTTCCTGTGCCTTTTTTCGGTTCCGTGCGTGGTTTTTTCGCCAAACGGTCAAGGATGCTCCTCGATGATCCTCGCCGAGGAAAAAAACGCACACGTCCGAGCGATGCCAAGTCTCTCCCTCCCTGGCCGTTCTCACTGTCCGTTTCCTCCTCCTCGCCCCTCCTCGTTCGCTCCGCCACCGCACGGTCCGTCACCGCGCCGCTGTTGGGACCTTTTTTGCCCAAACCGCCGGAGGCGTTCTCTGAAAACAACCAAAAAGTCCCCAAACCGTGCGGACACACCAAATCCCCAATGACCCACCCGACGGTGTAATCACCGAACCGCTTTGGGATACGCGCGGACACACAGACACACACACAGACACAGACACACACAGAGACAGACACACGCACACACACACACACACACACACACGCGTGTATAAGTAATACCTATAGCTACGTGCATGTGTATACAAGCATGCATCTGCACACATGAACACATACAGACATGCATAAACAAACGAATTCTGGCATATGCAACTACGCCCTTACATGCTCGGCCGCGCGGGTTCCGCTCTGGGCGGGCCTGACCTTCCATCCTACAGCACTGGAGGGTGAAGGGATCGCCCCTCAACTACCCCTCCCCCATGTGCCCGCCTGTCATTCGGTCGGGCATATCCTCCTACAGGCGGCTTTTGGAAGACAGATAAACAAAAATCAAACAATGCCCAAAAATATCTAAAATGCTCGAATCATCTTGCCCTGACAATTCTTTGCCCATTCTCAAACAATTCCTCCTGTAGAGAAACAGACCCGACTCAAACCCATCACTTCCGCTCATCACCTCCAGTCTACCGCACCCCCCTGCTCTCTCCTCCTCTCTCTCCTCCTCCTCCTCCTCCTCCTCCTCCCTCCCTCCCTCCCTCTCCCACCTCCGCCCTCCTACTCCGTCCCTCCCTCTCCTCCTCCTCCTCCTCCTCTTCCTTATCCCCCTCCTCCTCCGCCTCCTCCTCTTCCTCCTCCACCTCCTCCTGCTGCTCCTCCTCCTCCTCCTCCTTCTCCTCTCCTCCAACTCCTCCCTCCCTCCCTCCTCCCTCCTCCCTCCCTCCCTCCCTCCCCCCTCCCCCTCCTCCCTCCCTCCCTCCTTGCCTCCCTCCCTCCTCCCTCAAATATCCTCCATCCTCCCTGCTCGTCCCTGCTCCCTCCGCGCGGCATTCCCCCTGCACTCTCGGAGCCTCCCCGTGCCTCCCTGCCTCCCCGTACCTCCTTGCTGCCTCCGCCTCCGCCTCCCAGCCCAAACCCCTCTCCACCTCCACCTCCAGCCCGTTGTGGGCCCCGGAAACGGCAGGGCCGTTTTTTCACCGTGTCCGAAAAAATGCCCCTTGAAAATGGAAACGGCAAAAAAAGCCAACCCGAAACGGCAAAAAACGGCTCCAGGATTTGAACCGGAGCCAGAACCGGTCAAAAAACGGCGACGGAACCGGTGAAAAAACGGCGTCGGAACCGGCAAAAGAACAACAAAACGGAACCGGTAAAAAAATGGCCGTCGTTTCCAGGGCCCACCCCCTTGTGAGCATTTTTTTGATTCGGCGTTGCGAGATGGGCGGAAGGGGGGGCAGGGGGTGGGTCTGGCTCCGGACCTCTGCTTCATGCGACTGTTTGCAACAGGGCGTCCATTATGGGGGAGGCCCTTCCTGCTCGAAACAGGCGCCAAAAAATAATCAAGATCCACTCCAGGGGGGGATGGGGTGGAGGGGGGTTTGGGGGGCCCGCGCCGATCGGTAAACCAAGGAATGACAAAAAAATCACCTTCCCGCTCACCCAGCCACTGCCCTTCAGTCGGGCGTGTCCCTCTGCATGAGTAGTATTCAAAAATAGTTTTAAACAAATCAGGGGACGATTCTTGGACTTTTTCTGATAATTTTGGAATATGTTTTGACTATGTTTGTATTATTCCTCCGAAGTCCGCCTCCGGAAGGACATGCCCGACCTCACCCTGCTCGTGTCCTTCCTGACTACAAACCAAACCGCCCCAACCCAACCCGAAGACCCGAATTTCGCTAGAATTTCAGGTTCGGGGGGGTAATTACTGGCTTTCATATGTGTTTTGTCACTGTTCCCCGACCCCCCGCCACTGGAAATGGAGGGCAAATCGGGGCCTTCGGGTTGGGTTCGGGTGGTTTGGTGGGCGGTGGGAGAAGGACGGGGAAGCTTCCCCATCCTTCTACCCCCCCCCCCTCCTGGAGCACCCTACACAATGGGCACTCACCTCCCAGGTGCCGCGGGATCCTCTCCGAACGCCGACCGGGACTGGTACGCCTTGCTGAACTCGCCCCAGCATGGGTGCACCTCCGCACGGCGGCGACGTGGGGAAGCGAGGAGGGGAAACGCCGGCGCCAGGCTGCTGCGCCACGAGCAGGGCCACGACGTGACGGGCAGCATGTCATCCTCCTCCTCCCCCGTCTTGCGCTCCCCCTCCTCCTCCTCCTCCTCCTCCTCCTCCTCCTCCTCCTCCTCCTCCTCCTCCTCCTCGTCCTCATCCTCGTCCTCATCCTCGTCCTCCTCCCTGTCCTCCTCTCTCCTCTCCTCCTCCTCCTCCTCCTCCTCCTCCTCCTCCTCCTCCTCCTCCGCCTCCTCCTCCTCCTCCTCCTCCTCCTCCGCCTTCGCTCCCGCCAAAGGCCAACCTACACCGCCCCTTGCCCCGCTGCTCCTGCTACCTCTGCCCCGAATGGCGGCTCCCATTCTCCCTCCTCCATGTCATCCTCCCACTTCTAAAACGAAGCTGGGGAGAGGACAGAATCGGGTGAGGATAAATCGATAATCTCTGAAATCCGGTGAGTCTGGAGGTGAATCCAGGTCGCGCTCGTCAAAAAGCGTCGGCAAACCCGAGGTCCGTCGTGCTCGAGTCTTACGTTTCTCCGAGAGGAGGCGGGATGAGGCGGTCGACGGTGGATCGAGAGGGGGATGGAGGAGGGCAGAGGTGGACGCTCTCGAGGTGTATGCATGAGGCGGGCAAGGGTGGAGCGAGATGGGCAACAGGAGGACGGAGGGGGGCCCCTGGGCCCCATCCCTGGCAGCGTCTTTCCCTCGCGGGTCGCCCGAGACGAAGCCAGGACGATGACAAAATCGGGGGAGGACAAATCGAGAATCGCGTGGAATCCGGCGGCTCTGGAGGATGTCTCGTGCGCCGCGGCCTTCTCCGAGCGGTTCGGAACGCTCCGAGATGGCGTTCCTGCACGCCCTTCGGGCAGCAAAGAGGTACCGATACCGCCACTCCATGGACCTCTCCCCGGTTGCGTTCTGACCAAGATTTCGAGGCGAATCCAGCGGTGGCAACGAGGGCCTCCGTGGAGGCCAGAAAAGAGGGAAACGGACGATGGGGTAGCGGTATGGGTACCTCTTTTCCTCCTCTGATGAGCGGGTCGGCGGTGTCACGTCGCACAGCATCTCTCCAACGGCAGCCCTACAATGGAGGCCCATGTCAAGAATCACCCTGCTCGCCTCCAGGGTGCCCTGGGTTCCTTGGGTTTCGATGGTTTTGCCTTGGAAAGCGTGACGCTCCCACACCAAAAATCAATGGACGTCCTGGGGTCTCGGGGTTGGGTTTCTGGTGGAGGGTTTCTCGCGGACTGCACTCCGCTGTAGTCGCTCTGTTCTGGCGGTGGACCCCGGGCGGCCCCGACCCCCGGGGGCAGCCAGCGTCTGCCGAGCCTTCGAGACCGAGTCACTGGCCTGCGGGCCATTTCTGCCCCTGACGCCAAGCTGGCCATCGCTCGGACGTCCATTCCCTGTGTTTTTTTTGGTTTTGTGCGTGGCTCTTTCGCCAAATGATCAAGGATGCTCCTCGATGGTCCTCGCCGAAGGAAAAATACACACGTCCGAGCGATGCCAAGGCCAAGGCCTCGGCGCGGCGCGGTCGTTACCTCCGCGCCCCCCAGCGGGGAGGGAAAAGTGGAAGGCAGAGCAGGGAAGGAATGGTTGGCAGCAAGGGGACCCCAAACCCTTTTGAGAGGGGGCCTGAGCTAGGAGGGCCAATGACATTAGGGCTAGGGGGCCCACTCTGCTGATGCGTCGCAGCACGCCGCCCAGAATCATGATCCCGATTGCGAAGACGGGAGCGTAAGTGAGGCCACGTCTTCACTCTGTTGTCAGGGTTAGGGGTCCCTCAAGTTCGATGAATGAATGAGGCGCGAAACGCGCATGGGCGGCCTGCACGGAGACTCTCAGAAAGCCGGGCCCATCCTTGAGCAGGGACCGACCGTCCAGGGGTTCCTATCGGCCTACCACGAAATTGTCTCAGAACCCCAAACCGTCCGAAGGACGAAACACAACGCTCTTGGAACATAAGCCCGATGTGTGAACCGAGGTGTTAGAACAAGACTGTCTCAGTCAGAAATGTTCTAAGAACATGTCGTGCATACCACAAACAAGGTTCTTAGAACATTGTGGTGGCCCTGTAGGCGAGCCAGGACGCCTAAAACAGGGCTAGGATCGGGACAAATCGCTCCAGAGCGTTCCGGAGCGCTCTCAGAGCGTTCCGGAACGCTCTGGAGCAGCCGCGGCGCCCAATACATCCTCCAAACCCGCCGATTCTCAGAGATTTCGAGTTACACCGATCCGATTTTGTCCCGATCTTCGCGTCGTTTTAGCCCTGTAGGCGAGCCAGGACGCCTCGCCACTGCTTGACATCCGGCTGAGCGGCCAAGCCAGAGCCGGGCCGGCCGGCAGGCGGCACCAGCGCGGCGTCGCGGCGTTCCGTGCTGCACGAGTCCTCCCGCACGCGGGCCTGCCGCGCGCGGGAAGAGGGGCAGACGTCCGGCGGATCTCGCTCCGCCCAACCATGGGAGGCCCAGAGATGGGCATCAACACCAACACAGGGGGTTGCCTCCACATGGGGAAGATGATCCTAAATTTCGGTGTTGGTGGCAATATTTCAGTCACTTTGGAAGCCAGACTATTACCACCATCACCGAGATCGGGATCATCTTCCCTCGGTGGAAGCACACCGCCGATGTTGGTGTTGGTGTCAACCTCTAGGCCTGCGAAACCATGTTGTTATGTTGCTTCTCACCCGACTCGGAATCGACCGCGGTGCGAATCCAGAGGTCGCCCGCCAGACCTTGAACACCACACAGGCCGGCCTGCGACAGGCAGGCTCCTGCAGTGGAGCGCGGCCTGAAAGAGATGGTGAAAAATTTCTTGTTCGGCGTTTCGACATTGGGCGGAAGGGGGTGGGGGGATGGGGGGGCTCTGGTTCCGGACCTCTGCTCAAAGCGACTGTTTGCAACAGTGTGTTTATTGGAGAAGACTCCACCTGCTTGAAAAAGGCGCCCCAAACAGCCAAGATCTACTCCATGGGGGGCGGGAGGAGGTGCGAGGGCTCGCAGCAGCGCCCCGAGTCTCCTCCGTCCCAGCTTCTCTCCTCCTCCCTCCTCCCTTGCCTGCCTCTGCTCTCCGCGCGTCTCTCTTTTTCGGCAAACCCCTCACACGCTTCATGGCTCTCCAAAGGGTGCTCCGTCGGAGGCCCCAGTGGCAGGGTCCGCATGCGCCCCCCCGCCCACTTCGGCACACCCCTCACACGCTTCGTGGCCTCACGGGGAACTCCACCGAAGGCTCTTGCCCGAACACGCTCCTGGCCCCGACCCCTTGCGCGGATGGTGCTGCCTTGCTGCACTTCGCGAGGGAGGCGTCGCACAGCGTCGCCCCGCTCGCGTCGGCACACCTGTCACAAGGATCGTGCCCTGCAGGGAACGACACCTGCGGCCCCAGAGGCAAGGCTCGCATCTCGCCCCTCCGCCTACTTCGGCACGTGAGCGCTTTCTGCTTCGGCCTTTCGGCATTGGGCGGCAAGGGGGGCGGGGGTCTGGCTCCAGACCTCTGCTCAAAGCGACTGTCTGCAAGAGTGCGGCTCTCTGGGGGACACTCCACCCGCTCGAACACAGGCGCCAAGAAACAGCCAAGATCTGCTCCATGAGGGGGGGGAGGGGGGGGGCGAGGGCCTGCGCCAACCCGCAAAACAACACATATGAGAACGATCGCCACTTCGGCACACCTCTCACAGCGATCGGGCCCGAAGGGGAGCTCCACCGACGGCCCCGAGGCAAGGTTTGCATCGCGCCCCCCCCCCGCCCATTGCGGCACACCCTTCACGCTGAACGTGCCCCACAGGGACCAGCACCCACGGCCCCAGGGACAGGGTCTGCAAATCGTCCTGCCGACCATGTCTTGGCACGCTGCTCACGCGAGTCGTGCCCTGGAGCGAGCTCCACCTGTGGCATTGATGGGCAACTCCGCATGGCGCCCCCCCGCCCAATTTGGCACGTGCCTCACACGGGCCGCGCTCCACAAGGAGCTCCAACTGCGGCCTCCGTGGGCGGGTTCGCGCGAGGGCACCTGGACCACTCGGCGCCCCCTTCACGCGGATCGTGTCCGAAGCGGAGTTCAGCGCGCCCGTGCACGCCTGCTCCGCAGGAGCCCGCTGATTCGCCGGCCCAACGGGCCAGAGGCGTGCTAAGATCTCCGGTAACTTGTCAACAATATTTCTAGTTCGCGCGCGCGGAGCGGCCCCTGGGGGCCCCTGGACGAAAAGTACCCCGGCAAGGTCCCGAGAGAAGCCCGGGAGAAGCCACCAGACCACTCCAGGGGAGGGTATTTTTCGACACCCCTCACGAGGATCGTGGCCTCCGAGGGGGGAGCCGCAATCGACTACCCCCAAGAGCCCCCCAAGAGGCCCTGGGGGCCTCCAAAACGCCGCCAAGGAGCCCCAAGAGACTCCCAAGAGGTCCCCAAGAGGCCCCCAAGAGGCCCTAAAGAGGGCTCCAGGGCCGGCGGCATGAGCGAAGCGATTAAATAACCAGCGTAGCCCCGCGGCGCGAAATACATGAAGAGAGGGCCGCGCCCTGCGCTACACGTGACTGCATAGGGATGGGCCGGTCGCCAGGCCGAGTGTGTGCTCACTGATGGCCTCCGACCCACTTCTACCGCCACCGTGCCCGAGCTTGGGGCCAAGGGCTTCTTGGTCACCTGTAGTGAGGGGTCTCCTGGCGTGCTTCTCGGGCGCGTCGCTCGCCATCGCTCGGACGTCCATTCCCTGTGTTTCCTTCGGTTTCGTGCGTGGTTTTTTCGCCAAATGATTAAGGATGCTCCTCGATGGTCCCCACCGAGGAAAAAATGCACACGTCCGCGCGATGCCAAGGTCGTGGAGCGAATTTTGAAGCCTCTCGGGGCCTCTTGGGGGCCAGTCGGGGGCCTCTTGGGGCAGCTCTGGGGGGGCCCTTGGGGGCACCTCGCGTGGGCCTGCTGGCGGCCTCGACAGTCCACTGTTGGCGGAGGGCTCGAAATGTGAACTCGGGTTCCCACTCTTGGGCCTCTATTGGGCCCCCCTTGGGCCGTCTTGTTACCAGCCTAGAACATATCCTTATCCCTATGCTGGGCACCTCCTCATCACGATGCCAATCTTAGGGATTCCCTTATTTTTGAGGGCGAATCCCTAAGATTGTCATCGCCGTTTGGCGTGTCAATCTTAGGGATAGGGATACGTTCGAGGCTGGTAATCTTGGGAACCTCTTGGGGCGCCTGTGGGCTCTCTGGGGCCGTCGTGGGGCCCTCCCGGAGGGCCGGGGGGAGACCCGGGAGGCCCCGGGAGGCTCCCGAGAGGGGGGTGCTCAAAAGGGAGGCGGAGGGAAACCGGGAGGTGCCGGCCTGGGGCCTGGGGCACCGGTACTCTGGAAAATGATACTATATCATAACCAGCCTCGACCTTATCCCTATCCCTAAGATTGACGCGCCAAAAGGCGATGACAATCTTAGGGATGCGCCCTCAAAAAATGAGGGAACCCCCAAGATTGGCATCGTGATGAGGAGGTGCCCAGCATAGGGATAGGGATATGTTCCAGGCTGGTAATATCATGGGCCACGTGTACATCGCAGAGCGGCAGGGTGGGGGGCTGAGAAGGGGCGTGCCACTCCTTGCGTCCCGATGCGTGGCCGCCCCGATCGCTGCGGCGACCTCCGAAACCGACCCCGAGGCTTGGTTCGGTGTCGGATATCACTATATCTGTCTTCTCTCTTCTGAAAACCCTCTTCCCTTCGGGGAGGGTACCCTCCCCCTTCCCTTCCTGAGGTTCCCTGGAGGACTCCGTGATGTGTCAGGGAGCCCGCTTTCGCCAAAGATGACTCCAAGATGGCATGATACGATTGGCTCTGGAGACCTTCCAGGCAGACTAGCTAGCGACCCTCGCTTTTGCAGCCCAGGCTGGAACAATGGGAAGTCTTTCACATCCTGGAAGCCTGGAAGTCCTGGAGCTTACCACTACTCGTGGCATCAGGAGCACCGCCCTCCCTTGACACGATGAGCTCTCGCTCCTCCTCCTGCTGATGCTGCTGGTGCTGCTGCTCCCCCCCCTGCGATCCGAAAGCCTGTCGAGACACGGGACCCCCTTTCCGAGCTTGAAGGGGCCCCAGGACACACAAATATAAATACACACAAATAAAACTATTCCCCATATTGTCCCATATTTTCTGGGTTTTTGTCTCCCCCCCCACTTCCTATATTTCCCATATTCTCTGGGGGATCGACGATGAATTGTGTCTGTGTGTTTTTCCCCCTCCTGAGAGCTCCTCTGGGGGATGGCGGCGAGGACGACGAGCAGCGCGGGACGACCAGGCAGAACGGCACCCGAGCCAGGCCGGGCGAGCTCGGGCCGCCCCGCCGCTCCTGCCGGTGCTGCTCCGCTCGCTGCCAACGGAGGGAAGCGTGTCCTACAGTCGGGGCGTTGACCTAAGGAACCCCAAATAAGGAGCGAGGCCCCCTTTTCCCAGAAGTTAACCTTCGATTTCCTGCCGAAGACAGAAGGAAAGCCTGAGGCAAGCCGTGTAACACTTAAGGGACGCGGAGCCCCTTCCCAACGAGAAGGGTTCCTTCTTCAGGGCCCCGACTGTAGGGTTCTGTCGGGCATGTCCCCCCGCGGGCGGATTCTGGAGGACAAACCCAGACTACCCCCCAAACACCTCAAACGTAGTCAAGGGGACCCACAAACATCGTCCCCAGACGATTGTTTTTGCAATTTTTAGTATTCCTCCCGTCGAGGGACAGGCCCGACTTCATCCTAAGGGAAGCGGGTCCTGGACTTCGGACGCCCGAAATGGGTACGGAAAGAATGGGTACAATGCCCAACAGCAGTTCCTGCTCATTCTGAACAGGACTCGCTGTCCACGCCGCCGCGGCCTGTGCCCATTCGAGACAGGAGGCCGCCTGCCCAACAGCGAACGCTGTTGGCTTGGGGCAACACTTGTTGTTGGGCATTGTACCCGTTCTTTCCGTACCCATTTCGGGCCTCTAAATGGACCTCGGGCGCCTCAAGAGTAGTCAAGGGTACCACAGACATCGTCCCCAGATGATTGTGTTTGCAACTTTTGATGTTCCTCCCGTCGAGGGACAGGCCCGACTTCATCCCAGGGGGAGGCGGATCCTCCTCCCCCTCCTCCTCCTCCTCCTCCTCATCCTCCTCCTCCCTCCTCCTCCTCCTCCTCCTCCTCCCTCCTCCTCCTCCTCCTCCTCCTCCTCCTCCTCCTCCTCCTCCTCCTCCTCCTCCTCCTCCCCCTCCTGTCCTGGACCTCGGGGCCCTCCCCCCAGGGTCGCTTGCCGCCGGTCCCGCGCAAGGCCCGCGGAGGGCCCCGCGGGGGAGGCCGGCAGCGGGGAACAAAGTCTGAGAAACGGAAGGAGAGGACGAAACGACTGCATCGATTCAAGACATCCTCCTCCGCCTCCTCCTCTACTGCTCCCCCTCCTCCTCCCCTCCTGCCTCCTCCTCCTCCTCCTCCTCCTCTTCCCCCTCCTCCACCTCCTCCCCCTCCTCCCCCTCCTCCTCTCCCTCCTTCCCCTCCTCCTCCTCCTGCTCCTCCTCCCCCGCTCCTCCCCTTCCTCCTCCCCATGTTTCGTTCATCGTCTTTTGGGGCCCCCGCGACGATCCAAGACATCCGCGCGGAGGTCCAACCGCTCATGCTCAAGACGTGCGTCCTGCAAGAGAACCTTCGGGACCCGCGCTCCTCAGGACCCGTTCCCTGCATGGCGGAAGGACGAGGGCCGAGAATCAAGGGGGCCCGGGACACACACACACACACACACACACACACACACACACACACACACACACACACACACACACACACACACACACACACACACACACACACACACGCACACACACACACACGCACACACACACACACACCCGCACACCCACACACACACCCGCACACCCACACACACACACACACACACACACGCACACACGCACACACACACACATTCTTGGGGGTCGACGATTCTATCTTTTTTTCTTATATCTTCCTGGGGTCGACGATTTTCCCATATTTTCCTTGTGCCTGCGTGTGGCGTCTCCTGCTGAGAGGATGGGCGCGCTGGTGGTGAGGATGCGGCCTGGCGGAACCTCACGGGCGCCGTCTGGGTGTTGTACATGGCAACCTGCTGCTGCGGGGGGGGGGGCCAGGAGGGGCAGGAGGGAGGGGAGGTCTGGTCACAGACCCCCTGGCATCTTGTGAATGTTCTCTTATTCGGCGTTTGGGGGGAAGGGCGGGAAGGGCGGGAAGGGGGGGAGGGGGTCTGGCTTTGGACCTCTGCTTGGTGCGACTGTGTGCACCAGTTCGTCCTATCGGGGAGGCTCCACCTGCTTGAAACATGCGCCAAAAACAGCCAAGATCTACTCCAGCGGGGGGCGGAGGGGAGGGGGGGTGCGAGGGCCCGCGCCGATCGGCAGAGGGGGGAGTGGGGGGTGCGAGGGCCCGCGCCGATCGGCAAAATAATGAATGAAGAAACTGCCACCATCACAGCAGGCAAGTCCCTGCTGTTTCAGGCCTCTGAAGCCCTCGCCGGGCCCTGGGAGGCCGACAGACCACGGCCCGGGAGGAGAACCTGGTCCCGGGACGAAGAGGAGGAGGAGGAGGAGGAGGAGGAGGAGGAGGAGGGAGGAGGAGGAGGCAGGAGGAGGGAGGAGGAGGGAGGAGGAGGAGGAGGAGGGAGGAGGGAGGAGAGAGGAGGAGGGAGGAGGAGGGAGGATGAGGAGGAGGTGGGTCGAGACCTCCGAGGGCCTCGCGCTATGGACCAAACAAAAGCAGGCCGTCGGGGCTCCCGGAGTGGCGCAAGCCGATGGCACGCTGCTGCCACGGCGAGGTCGGCAGGCCCGAGGTGGCCCGACTGCGACGATTGGCGGCGCGCACAGGGCGGCAGGGGGAGGGGGGGAAGGCTTCTCAGAAGGAGACTGCTTCTTGGAAGGTGCAAGCCTTACATCTACAGACAAGGCCCGCGCCTCCTAAGAAGCAGGGGTGTTTGTAAGGAGCCGTCCCCCCTCCGAGACGAGGAAGGGCTGTCCCAAGCGGCGGTCTCAGGAGCCCTCCCGGCAGGAGGGAGGAGGAGCACGAGAGGGGAGAGGTGCGGAGGGGTGCAAAGGTTAGGTCGGGCATGTCCTCCGACATGCGGATCGTGGACCGAAACTAGAAGTAGCCAAAGAAACGTTCAAAACTAATCAAACAAATAAGAGGAAACACGTCCCCTGGCTATTTGTTTGACTATGTTTGAACGTTCCGTCTGTAGACGGACACGCCCGATTTAATGTCGGGAAACGTAAGACTCGGGTACGGGGGACTCGGGTTGGCCTGACGGGGCCATCCTAAAAATGACGAGACCAAATGAATCTGACATCTTACGCGAACTCCCGCTGCAAACGTCCCACGGAAACTGAACCGTCGACATGCAGAACGCGTTCGGCAGAAAACGTCGGCAAACCAGAGTTCTGGCTTGCTCGAGACTTACGTTACCCCAGACTATTTGTTGGACTGTTGTCTGGAATCTGTGTTGGACTATGGTTGAATGCTCCTCCTGTACAATCAAGCAGCAAGTAAGGATGCGCGATAAGGATGCAAGGGCCTTGGACGTCCATTTCGAATATTTTCGAGCGGGGCGCGGCCAGCGAAAGCGGCGAAGGATGGACCGAGGGGGCAAGGATGCAAGGGTATCCTTGGGAATGTTGCCCGGCCTTACTATGCGGGTTGACTGTAGACGGACTCGCCCGACTTGATGCAGAGGCCTCGCCCCTCGCGCCGCTGCACGCTGGCAGGCGAGGCCCGTTGGTCTCCCGTGGGGAGGCGGAGGCCAAAGGGGCGGCGAGCGGACGGGGGGGAGCGCAGCAGCGGAGGAGGCGGGGGCGGAAAACGCAGGAGGGAGGGAGAAGGAGGAGGAGGAGGAGGAGGACGAGGGGGGGAGGAAGGGGAGGAGCGGGGGGGGGAGGAGCAAAAGGAGGAGGGGAAGGAGGGGAGAGGAGGAGGGGGAGGAGGGAAGGGGGGGAGGAGGAAGGGGGAGGAGGAAGATGAGGAGGAAAAGGAGGAGGAGGAGGAGGAGGAGGAGGGGAGACGAGGAAGGAGGAGGAGGGGGAGCAAGAGGAGGAGGAGGAGGAGGATGGAGGAGGGGGAGGGGAGGAGAGGAGGAGGAGGAGGAGGAGGAGGAGGAAGAGGAGGAGGAAGGAGGAGGAGGAGGAGGAGGAGAGGAGGAGGAGGAGGAGGAGGGTTGGGAGGGGGAGGAGGAGGGGGAGGGGGAAGAGGAGATGGAGGAGGAGGAAGAGGAGGAGGGGGAGCAGGAGGAGGAGGGGGAGAAAGAGGAGGAGGCGGAGGAGGAGGAGGGGGAGGAGGGGAGGAGGAGGAGGAGGAGGAGGAGGAGGAGGAGGAGGAGGAGCAGGAGGAAGAGGGGGGGATTTTTTTTGACCTGACAAAGGCCAGCCGCACGCGTACCAGCCTGCATACAAAAAGCTCGCACGGCCAGCGACGGAGACGCTATTCGACCCAGCTCATCGCCATGCGGGAGAGGTCGTCGTCGTCGTCGTCCGAGTCGCTGGCATGAGGGAGGCCAAACAAGTCCCCCCACAAGGCCGATACAGCCTGGGATACAGGAGGAGGGACGTGCTCCTGCCCCGACCACCCCGCCCCCACGTCCGACCCACTCCCCACCCCAAAGGCCACAAGGAACGAGGGAAGCGGCGGCATGCTAGCCGTCTCGCCGAGCCTCCTCTTTCGCAGCAAAATTCGGAGGCCCAAGAAACAAACCCAACCTGTTAGGGTGGCAGCCATTCAGCAGGTTCTGAAGGCGATAGAAACGAGAGTCCCTCACCTGGGTGCCGAGCCCCCGCTGCCTCGGCAAGCACTCCACTGAGAGACCCTGGCTGCGTTTCTCGAAATATGCGCCGCACAGAAAGCAAAACAATACTGGCCCCGCCCTATGGAGCGAGCGCATACCAGCCATGTCTTGGCACGTGAGCTGGCGCAACGTGAGTCGGGACTTCGCCGACCGAAGACACACCATGCAACGAAAACGTCGGTCGCAATAAGTGGCCGCAGGATCAAAGCGAGAATGTGGCCTGGGCGGGCCGAACCCTCCCTCGATGGTACCGATCGCCCTGCCCAGCGCCTGTGCCTGAGCACCCAGCGGGGTGACAGAGCCTATCCCCGCGGCAATGCGAATGCAAAACTGGGCGACCATCCTGATTGCCCCGCGCGAGGCACGGTGAGCATCACGCAGCAGCTTGGCGTCGGGATGCATTGCAGCACCACGCTTGGCAGACGTGTCGGCCTGAGCGTTGCCGTAGCGCTGCCACGCCGTGATCACACCATCCGCGACGGCGGATGCGGGCGAGTGAGGCTTAACATGAGTCACCTCCACCGCCTCCACCCCACGGTAAGACGCCAGACTCCACACCCCCCTCCATAAGTAGGCCGTAGGGTCGCCAGCATCAGTGCCAGCTCCTAACCCCTGGCGCCAAACATCAACTAGTGGCTTGCAGTCGGTGAAAAACTTCAGCTGAGCGCCCATGTACCGACGGGCCAGGAGGAAACTGTAAAGCCCAGCTGCGGGCACAGTCTGAAACAACATGGGCAGCGGTCCATGCATCCTGGCGACCTCCTTCAACTGGGAATCGAGAGAGCACAGGCCCCAACCACATCTCCTGAGTCGACAATATTGCCCGTGCGCACCCAATCCATCTCCAAACACATGCACATCGAGCGGCAAATCAGGCGACCGAAGGGTCCACACCACTCGCTCCTCGAGGCACGGGCTCGGAAAAAGCCAGGGCGGATCTGGGACCAGAAATCGGATCCAAAGCGGCGAGCGGCCGGCTGTCGTCTTAGCCAACTCTAACATCTGACTGGCCAACGCAAAGCCTGCCTTGAAGTCCCGACGGTACTCAGCGTGCACAAGGCAGTCATAGAAACGGCGCCAAGTGGAGCCGACGCTCTTACACGCAAGGTCCTCAGGATTAATCGCTCCACCAGCTTCATAAAGCCTCTCCTGAAACCAAAAACCTCCCGCAAAAAAAAACACTTGAGGAGCCCTTGATGCTTAGGGGCCGAATCGGGGCCTTTGGGCGAGGCGGGAAGGAGGAGGGACCTCACAGGCTCGAGGAGAGGAGAATGAGGACACAGTGAGGCCCACTCTGAATGCTTCGCCAAGACCTGGTGCCAAACCCAACGCCCGGTAGCCTCATCAGCCATCCGACCCCCATCTCGCGGCGACATTTTCTCAATTAAGACGGGACCTCGATGGGTCAGCCAGTGGAAAGGGCCCAACAACTTCCAAGCTAAACGCATCATCGTTCCCACATGGGCCGACGCGGGCCCGCGGATGTCGAACCAAACCTTATTCTCGTGGAGCGCCGAAAGCAAGCCCAAGCCCCGCTCAGAAGACGAGCCATATCAGATCTCGAAGCCCATCCGCCCCGCTGTGCCCGCAGCCAATAGTATATCGGCCCACGGTTGCACTCGCAGGCTGGGTCGATCTGGCGGCCTGCACTCATGAGATCGAGGGGCAAGGACCTGCCAGTGTGCCTGTACACGAAGCCAGCTCGAGCAATCTGTCGAGCCCTCAACAGATGCGCGTTGCTGATCCCATGCGCTCCGACACCCCATAGCATCCCAGGCTTGAGGCCCGTCTGGGCCAGGTTGATGGTTTTGCCCCCAGCTTTGACCAGACGCTTGCACCGAGGGACCCTGGAAGACATTTTGCCCAACCGCTGAGCCCGAACAGCATGCAGGACACGAAGACCTCCCCCGAAATCCAGTCCCAAGTTGCGTACCGACCTGGTTGAGAACTTAACCGAAGACGGGTCGACCTTACGAACGACGCTCCGGATGTTCTGACCGACGACCGTCTGGTGCTTTTGGGGGAGCGATATGGTGAGCCCGATCTGGAGCAGCTCGGAGGTGAGGAGGTTCTCAGCACCCTTGAGATCGTGAGCGACCCCCCAAGCATCCCCAACCCTTTGAAGCTGCAAATCATCAACCACAATCGCGAGGTCGACGGAAACATAACGCTGAACAGCGGCACCAGCAGGGGAGAGGAGCGCGAGCCGCAGCATCGAGGTAGCACAACTGCATCCTGCGACGATCGTGCGATTTGCCGAGACAACCTCTGTCGCAATCATC